TCTGATGCATAACAAGTGATTGCGAAGACCATGGCCTGTATCAGACGCACCTTAGTCTCCAGAGAGACACCATTGCTCTTCAGTAGTTTGAAGAGGTCCTTAACTGCTGTCTTTCACATCGCAATACGTCTTTTAATTTTCTGGCTACTGGTGCCAAGAGTGTTGACTGTGGAGCCAAGCAAACTAAAGCTATGAAAAATCTCCATCTCTTCATCATCCATCCTGATGCTGCCAATTGGCCCAGTGGTGAGAATCTTTGTCTTCTTGACATTGAGCCTCAATCCATATTGAAGGCTGCAGTTCTTCACCCACTGCAGCAAGCACTTAACGTCCTCCTCAGTTTCAGCAAGCAAGGTTGTGTCAGCCGCATAATGCAGATTATTGATAAATCGTCCACCAATCTTGACCCCACATTTCTCCTCATAGCCCCAGCCGTCCGGAAAATCTGTTGTGCATACCCTATTATCCTATCAATTGATACAGAAAAGGTCTCTGACAAAATCCAACACTTCTTCTTGATTAAAATAATCCACAAAATAGGAATAGAGGGGAATTTCCTCAACTTACTGAAAAGTATATATGAAAAATCAAGAGCCAACATCTTTCTCAATAGAGAATAACATCCCATTAAGAAATATATCCTAAAGAAATCAAATCCTTGACACAGACAGACATATGCATACTCATGTTTATGCAGCATTATTCACAAAAGCAAAGAGATATAAGCAGCCCAAGCGACAAACAACAAATAAACAGAAAAAAATGGCATACCAAGGATATCATTGCTGATATCAGATGGATCCTGGCTCAAAGCAGAGAATACCAAAAGAATGCCTATTTCTTTTTAATTGACTGAACAAAGGCATTTGACTGTATGGATCATAAAAAATATAGGTAAAACTGAGAAGAATGGGAACCCCAGACCACTTACTATTGCTCATGTGAAACCTAGACCTAGAAGAAGCTATCTGGTGAATAAAGCAAGGAAGCACTACATGGTTTAAAATTTTAGAAAAAAAAAAAAACTATCTTTATTGGCTCTTTGGCCCCATGCTTCAGCTGCTATCGCTGTTGTTCTGGTCCTGAAGGATGAGTGGCATTCTCTTGCTGGCAGGGAAGAAGCTTCTTGTTCTGGTGCTGGATCACTCAATTTAATGGCCATATTAGCCAATCCACATGTGGATTGGTGAGATAGCCAATCCCTTTTGGATGAGTTAGCACATTATATTCACATATTCCTAATCTTATGGAAAAGTCGAGCAAGAAAGGAACGTAATTTTGAATAAAGCCTTAACTCCACATTATTTTTATTTGGGGAAAAAAACCTTCAAACTTACATCTTGGTTGTCATGTTATTTGCTTTGTAAAAATTACTGTGAAAGAATATGATAAACCTTCATTTTCTTGTTCCTTATATATTCTTCAAAAAATCAAAATACATGTAACCAAAGATACTGAAATAGAGAAGATGCTTCTACTCTAGGTAAAGGTCTGCTACAGTTGACTATATTACCTTAAAATCATTTATCCTCTTTAGGATTCTAGTGACTCAGTCATAAGGTTCTTATCAACTCCAAAGTACCTGTAATTCCATTGCATGAGTCTAATAAAATTCAGCCTAAAAACACAATGGATGACCCAGACAACAGTTCTATGGAATAGCATTCTAGTAAAGAAATATAAATTAATTGAGAATACCAGCTGATCTAAGACTCAAATCCCTATGCACATCCAAAAACTTCTCCAGTAGGGTAAAAAGGGAAGCCACTGACTGGGAAAAAGTATTCGGTAATAACATATCAGATAAGGGACTTATATCCAGAATTTATGAAATACTTGAGCACCACGACAAGATAAAGGTAAAGAATCCAATAGAAAAATGGGCACAGGATATGAACAGGCACTTCACCGAAGACGACATTCAGATGGCTAACAAGCACATGAAGAAATGCTCAAAATCCCTAGCCCTAAGAGAGAATATCAGCTGAAATTTTATGACATACATGAGCCAGTAATAAAATGTGTCTTTTTATTGGGTCACATTAACATCATTCAATTATAATACACCCTCAAATATTTAAAAAATTGCATTAATTAAATAAATAAATTAACTAGCAGCTAACTCTTAAAAGACACTTGAAACTTTAGGTTGTCCTAGGATAACTTTGGAAATTTTTAAGAGGGATAATACAAAGAAAAAGAGCTAACAGGTTGAGAAGATAGAAGGAATATGGATATAAATATAATATGATCAAGAAATAAGATAATTAATTGAAAGCCATGTACTAATTTAACAAGCAGCAAACTGAGATAGCGATTGGAGTCAGTGCACAGAATTTTCCTGCTGTCCTCGTTGCTAGAACACCCCAGAAGCTAAAGGAATGACACAAAAGCAATGACCTTTGAATGGGAAGTTAATCCAAACTTAACTGTAAAATTACATTTCTAGAGAAATCTGAGCTGTGTAAATCCTACACAAAGCCATTTAATTATGTTTTCAAATATTTTACACACACACAAAATCTAGCAATCAAAAATGTTAATAAATAAATTCAAAGTAACTTAGTAACTACAGAAGTTAATGTGATGACACTATAATCATTTTGACAAATTTATAAAATAGTTCATAAAGTTAAACACAATTTTTAAACTAAACACAGCATGGACAGTGGCTTTTGCCTTTCTTGTTTCATCATAAATCCTACTTTACAAAATTCCAGGCTCCACACAAGTAAGTCAGCTGTAATAACAGTAATTTAAAACCCTCATATTACCACTATTCTCTAAAACCAAGAATAATAAAAATAAAACAAAATAATTCAAAATCTAAGTGTCATTTTATCTTTTTTCCAACATTACTAAATGAAAGAGAAAACTTAAAATTTACTTTTTAAGGAATCTTAGAATTGTCATATACTGTTAAAAACCATGTTCACAAAAATAACTGCTCAATTTTAGTGAAATAACATCTATCGAATCAAGATGCATTGATAATAATGGGTGAAAAGAATGCAAACATTGGGAACAGAGAAGAAGATTCAGTAGTTGGAAAACATGGACTCGGTGACAGAAATGGAGCTGGAAGGACAATGATTGAATTTTGCATAATCAATGACTTATTCATAGGAAATACGTTTTTTAAGAGCCATAAACGCAGGTTATACACATGGATCTCACCTGATGATATGCATAGGAATCAGGTTGATTACATCTGTGGAAAGAACCACTAGAGAAGCTCAATATCAGCTATGAAAACTAGGCCAGGAGCCGATTGTGGAACAGACCACCAACTACTAACACGCAAGTTCAAGCTAAAGTTGAGGAAAATGAAACTGAATCCAAGGCAA